ATCATACTAATGGGAAACAAACTTCAGAGAAAATTGTATGGGCCAGAGAAAATTATAGACAATGAGACATAATTTTATGACTCAGAGAAAATTATGAAACAAGTAACAGAATTTAAATATCAGAGAAAATCAATCAGGGCATATAAGTTAATGTTACTATAATTGTGTCAGAGAAATTTGGATTTCAGAAAAAATTCATTACAAGGGAAGAAATAAATAGTAGTAATCAAAGAAGCAACATAAATAGAAATTTCAGAGAAAATTGATCTCAATCAGTCAAAGCACATAAGTTATGGACCAGATAAAATTCATCTAAATCATACTAATGGGATACAAACTTCAGAGAAAATTTTATGGGCTAGAGAAAATTACACACAGGACAAATAATTTTATGGGCCAGAGAAAATTATGAAACAAGCAACATAATTTAGATATTAGAGAAAATCAATATAATTGTGGTCAAAGAAATTTGAATTCCAGAGAAAATTAATTATAAGGGCAGGAATAAACAACATTAATCAAAGAAGCAACATAAATTGAAATTTTAGAGAAAATTGATCTCAATCAGTCAAGGCACATAAGTTATGGGCAGAGAAAATTAGACACAAAGAGAAATAATTTTATGAGCTAGAGAATATTATGAAACAACCAACATAATTCAGATATCAGAGAAAATCAATCAGGGCATATAAGTTAATGTGTTACAATTGTGGTCAAAGAAATTTGGATTCTAGAGAAAATTCATTATAAAGGTAGAAATAAACCAGTGGTAATCAAAGAAGAAACCAGTGGTCAGAGAAATTTTAGAATTTCACTAAGACTTTAGTGGCGATAGAAATCTAACTTGTCAATATGCAAGAGAGTGGATTGGTATCTTCTGCAACTGTTTGGTCAAGCTTTGAAGGTTCTACTTCGCACATCTTGGGAATTCAGTTGTGTTACTGTCTTCCGAGTCAATGATAGCCTCATGTTCGCATAGCTAGTATTGTGATGGAAATTGAAATAATTAAATTTTGCTAAACACACAAATTTGTAAGTATCATAACTGTAAATTCTACTTACCAGCAATGCAATGACACACCCCATAACTTTTTCTGCAGTTTTGTGAAATGCTGTGATAGAATTGATCAATGTTGTTGTGATTGCCTTTGGCCAATCATACTGCTTCATTGATTCAAGAGGTTCACGTACTTGATAAAAACCCACCCTATTGAATTCCCACTTGTTGCAAAAAATACGATGAGACACAAGTACAAGGTAACAATGATTGCTACATCTTTGAAGTCAGTTAGTTGCTTGCCTTTCATTGCTTTAAGCAAGGCATTCTTAAGAACAGGACCAGTGAGCCTTGTGTCCTTTGGGAATCTTCGCCTTAGGAATGCAGTGTTTGGCTTTTTTGAGTATCTTAATGACATGGCTCCTTTACCACCTTGCAAACCAAAAATCAAGGTCATGTCATTGGTTGTAAAGGTCAAGCTCTTTTTACCAACTGTGAATGCTTTCATTTTTTCATTGTAACATTAGATTATTGCAACTACATCATCATCAAATTTCCTTAACTTCTTTGGATCCATCATTCCAGTGGTTAGAACTTAGATCAAATACCAGAATGGAGTCTTTTGAAGCTCTTCAAGTTGGTTTGAATTGAATTTAAGAGTTTGGAAAAAGGAGACAACAGATGAGAGATTGGATCGGTATTGAATGCTTTAATGAGCTCTCTTTCTTTGGAGTTTAACAGGTTTTTTCCCTGTTGAGGTTGAGTCTTTTGAAGTTGGGGCGTTCACCTTGATGCTTGTTGCTTCATCACCTTGGACTTCTATTTTTTGGCGAGGAGTTTGTGGTGTTTTGCTGCTTTTTTATCTAAGATCATAAGAAGGTTGAGAGAGTTTCTATTTCTTGCTTGGTGTTTCTGGTGTTTTGCTAATTTTACGTTTCGACATTTCTAAACAATGAAAACATAATGATGTCAACATTAAATCACAGAGGAAATTGAACATGCTAGAGAAAATTGAACATGTCAGAGAAAATTACACATAAGGGAGAAAATTAAGGTAGCCAAAGAAAATTATAATAAATGTCAGAGAAAATTAGACACTAAAAATTTAATGTCAGAGTACTAATAAATATGGCAAGCCAGAGAAAATTTCCATTCCACAATTAGCAAGATAAAATAAACAAAGCAATGTAAACATGCCACAGAAACATATAGAACAGAGAAACCAATAATTCTGGCAAGCCAGAGAAAATTACATATATGCTAGAGAAAATTAAACATAACAAGCCAAAGAAAATTTCCATTCCATAATATGAAAATGCCAGAGAAATTTACAGACAACCAGAGAAAATTGAACATGACAGACACACACAAAGGAGAAAAGTGATATGGCTAGATAAAATTATAAATGCCAGATAAACATAGACACAGACAAGAGAGTAAAATTATACATATGCTATAGAAAATTAAACATGGCAAGTCAGAGAAAATTTTCATTCCATAATATGAAAATTGCAGAGAAATTTATAGACAACTAGAGAATATTAAACATGACTGACACACATAAGGGAGAAAAATGATGTGACCAGAGAAAATTATAAATGCCAGAGAAACATAGACACAGACAAGAGAGTAAAATTATATATAGATGTAAAATATAGCCAGAGAAAACTCAAGAAAGAAATATAAATCTAGCAAGCACAGAAAATGAAAATGCCAGAGAAAATTAATATGCCAGAGAAATTTATAGAGCAAAGAAATTTGAATGAATTGTATTTGAAAATTACACAGAGAAATACAGAGAAATTAACCATGTCAGAGAAAATGAGAGAATAAACATGTCAGAGAAAATTCAAAGAAGAAACATAAATCTAGCAAATACCGGAGAAATTCAAATGATAGACAAATTTACAGACAAAGTCAAAAAAACGTCTTCAAGAATAAGTTCAAAACTTAGAGAAATAACATTTTTTAAATTCATGTAGCTTTTTATTAAGAAATTGAAACCCTAATTAATGGAAAGCTAATATAATATGCAATTAACTGTGTTTCCATAGAAAAACTAGTTGGATTGGAGAAAACTTACCAGAGTGATGATGAAACCCTAATTACAAACTGATATACCCTGAGATGAAGATGAACTGAGATAACGATGAACAGTGAAAACAGGTCAGAGAAATTTGTGAGGAAGGAATGGAAAAGATTTTGACAAAAGATAATGAAACTGTAATGTCGACGGTGAAGATGATTGTGAAACCCTAATTCTCATATTCTCTTACTCATGAAGATGGTTGGATGTTTGAAATGGAATTGAGTTTTCGAAATCCGATGGAGTGTTCTCAGTTGATTTGTGAAGGATATTTTGGTCCAAGAAAGAATTAAAAATGCGCACGTTCTTAATTGAGGGACCTAAGGCATCATCCTTATTTTTGATATCCTTTATCCTATAAATAACTATTATTAAAGATTTTAAAAACAATTTCCCTAATTTTATTTGTTTTAGGATTATTTACCAATAAGTCCTACTTTACAAACTGTTATACCAAATAGTCCCACTTTTATTCTATTATACCAAATAGTCCTGCTGGTGGGTTGATTTGGTCTTTTTTATTTTTTATTTTTTCCATTTTTGTTTAACTGTGTGGACGAGAGTGCCCTTGGTTTAATGTGGGACTGTGTTTGCTAGATCAGTTCTTTTTTTGGAAACGTTGCTCATTCCGTGTGTACTGTGTGCGTTGTGTGTGCTGTGTATGTGTGTATCATTGTGTATGTGTGTGTGGGTGTGTTGAAGCCAGCACTGTGTGTGTGTGCGCGTGTAACAGTGTGTGTTATGCGCTAGGTGTCTCTTAGAGAGGAAAGAGAGAGTTGGGTTTGGTGTGTGCTGTGTGTGTGTGACCACTATCGCCGCCGTCCACGTCATCGTATCCCAGCCTTTTTATCACCGAGTAAATCGTATCCAACTGTGCATCAAACATGTTCGTGTAGTTCATCCCTGTAGCGTGGTCAAAAACGCCGCCGTTTGGCTTGAACAGAGCGTAGTCCAGAGTATTCGATGTAAACCCGAAAAACGGGTATGGGCAGACCATGAGGGGCGCGTTTGTTTGGCGATGAAATTCAAGGATTGGGGCAAATATGACCCGGTCGTAAACCCGCCTGAACCGACTCGAACTGGGTGGATCCGAGATTGATAATATACCTAGTGAATGAGGTGTGGAGACCTAAATGCTGGATATTTCGGCAACATTGAGGGCGGCGTGGAGAGATTTCATGGCGGGAAAGAGGTGGGTGATGAGGGTTTTGTCGGTGGTGGCGATGACTTTGTTCCCGACGGCGATGCGGTGGATTTTGGCGGTGGGGTAGAAGGAGAGGATGTTGTTAGCCACCCAGGACACGGCGGCGGAGTGTTTGGAGACAGCGGGGATGTCGGAGTTGGCAACGGTGACGGTGACGATGACGTAGATGTCGGAGTTGGCGAAGGCGCGGAGGATGTCGGGGTTGGCATCGAAGATCTTGACTCTGTCGATGGTGGTTTGGTCTTGAGTGTGTGTTGTGAATGTGTTTGTGTCTGCCTGTGTGAACCCCCAAACACACCAACCCAGTCCAAAACAAAAACCCCTTACAGCGCTTTGCCATTCTATGACACCCTCACAATGTATCACATGCAACACACCACACATCCATTCACTAATTATGCACGTGAGACACACATGCACCACACCCAATTTTTCCCTAACAGCCTTATCAAAGTTAAATGAGGGTAATTACGTCCCTCACAATTGAATGAGACTAAACAGTTTAGTAGAATAAAAATGAGACCAACTGATTCATAAATTCAAAATTTAAAATTTATTGATAAATCTCCTTTTATTTTATTATATTATATTTATTTTATATAAAAATAATTTAATAATTCTCACGTCAACAACTATCACCAAAATAAATATAATTTTATCAACCCCTTTATCATCGATGCATTCACTATTAACTCTTTTGCTATCGATCCCTTTACCTTCTCCCTCGGAAATCAGACGGGGCTACATAAAAAACAGAGGCTGAAAAATCGCGTGGAAAGAGCGACGACCTCTCTCTGTCCTGTCTCTATTTGTGTATGTCTCTCTCTCTGTGAAAATTTTAGAGAGAGGGAAATTCTTCAATCGATAGAGAGAGAACCAGAATAATCATTTGTCAATAGAGAGAGAAAGATACACATATACATATATATATACACACAGATAGAGAGGAGAGAGAGGGAGGGAGAGAGAGAGAGAGAGAGAGAGAAATGGATCAGATATTGAACAAGGTTGGATCTTACTGGGTAGGTCAGAAAGCCAACAAGGAGCTCAACTCCGTCGGCGAAGATATCAATGTACGTTTCTCTTCTATTTTGCAATTTTTATCGCCTTGTTAAGATCGTGTGATCCTAATTTATGCTGATCTGATCACAAAGTTGTTATCTTGATTGCCAAATTAGGGTTTTGTTTGATTTAACCTTGTTGAATTTGAAGAATTTGACTCAAAACATGGCATGATTACCTAATAATTACACTCAATCGAATAAAGTAATTTTGATGTCATCCTTGTTAATAAATATTGCTTCCTTTTGCTATTTTTAACTTCTTGCATAGTTGCAAATGCAGCCTTTACAAGCTCATCTTTAACATCTTTCTAATTCTTGTGGATTGTAGAAAGAAATCTACTAAACATGATTTCAGAAATCTGAATTTTTATTTTTATTTTTTCAAATTATTATTTCCGAGCACTAAGTTCTTGTGGATGATGATAAGTTAAAATCAGTTTACAATGACCGTCATGGATGCCAATATTCTGCATAGATAAGTGATTAGGATGCTGGATTTTGTCTTTACGAAAAGTTTTTGAAGCTTACTCAAATATTTATTGTAAATTACTCTTGCAATTGCTTCCTGAAAATTGGAAGCAATATTTGGGAATCTCCATAATTGCATAATGTTTTTGAAGCTTACTCAAATATTTATAGTGATTAGGATACTGGATTTACTTCTTAATCTATTTGGGAATCTCCATAATTGCATAACTATTTAAGGTATTTTTCATTTTCATTTTTTTTTTAAAACAAACTTGAGCCATTTAAATTTCAATAGAGTAACTGCTCAAGGCACTTGAGTCATAATATGTTATTAACCCTAAGTGATATCGATGAGTTCATCAGCCCTTTAATTGAACATTGTCAAATTAGGTTTTCTAACCCATGGTATTCAACTATCATGGAGCTTTACGGCTGGTTGTGTTGCAATCTCTTTGCAATGTGAGCATCTGTAGGTCTTGCCGACATGGTTGGGCTCCGTTCAAATGGCACAAATTCAGATATTTTCCTTTTGTTTTTAAAATCAGCTTGTTATAACTGAAGAATAGTTTGTGATCTCTATTCTTAGATAAAATTCTTATAGTTATAGAGAGGAATTATTTTATTAAACATTGCCAAATTAAGTCTTCAATCCATGGTTTCCAACTATCATGGACATTTGTAGCTGATTTGATTGCATTGCAATCTCTATGATAGGTACGAGTCACTTGGACTTGTCAACTTGGTTGGGCTCTGTTTAATGGCACAAACCCATCCTGCAGGATGAATCTTTTTCCCTTTGTTTTCAAAATACATGTATTATAATTAAGAATAGTTTGCATTTCGCATTTTTAGATGTACTTGGAGTTTAGAGAATAATTCCAGATGCAGTTTATCAATGCACAATGCTGCACGTGGACATGTGTAGTCGGATAGTCTTCCCACTATAGTGGAATTTTAATTTTTTTTTTCTCTGTTCATTTCATAGCATTAACCTGACTTTCACAGCAGTAAACTTGACCAGGAATGATAATAAAAGGTAGAAGCACTGTTTCTAGAGCATCTTGAAAATTATTGCAGCAATATTATGACACTGAAAAACAAATGTCAATATATTATAAAAATTGCAATTAATTCCTTTATTTCCTCAAGAATTACTTGGCAGCCCCTTATTCATTACTTCTTATTCTGTAATGTATGTTGGAAACACGGGTGCATATGGGAGCTCACTCTGCATTCTTATAGTTGGTTATGCCTGAGCTTCTTCTTTTCTTTTTCCTGTTATTTTTTTATACTGACCTGTATTTCTATAACTAGTCATTGTCAACCAGCATTGAAGGAGGAACCAAATGGTTGGTTAACAAAATTAAAGGTTTGTTTACTTCCACAGATTCTCCGTCTCTTTTTGACATTATCTGCATACCAGAGTGATATCTTGTTTGTTGTTTATACTTTATGCAATTGTTTGATTTCTTCTGCTTCAAAATTTGTTCCTGGGATAATGGTGTTATTATAAAAATAAACATGTCTTCTTTTGTTACTTGCTTTGTGAAATAATTGTTTGTCTAAATCTTTTCAGGTTTCACCACTAACAAAATCTATAATCATCTCAATGTGTTCCATTAATTAAACCATTGCAAAACTTGGCAGGGCAGTTATTGTAAAATTCATTTGGATTGTAGCAAGGATGGCAATTTCCCCCGGCCCCACACAGGTTTTCCCTGGCCAATGAGGAAATTGGGTGGGGATGAGTTTTGCTCCGCCCAACCCTCACCCTCACCCCAATTTTATTTATTCAAAATATTTATATGTATATAATTTAACTTCTTTTAATATAATAATATTAAAATATTACATTTAATATTCATTTTCATTCATTTATTTATTATCTTATATCTTTTAACTCCCATTAATTATAAATTATTATTTGTAATATGCTAGGCCAAGTTTGGCATCCTCAAAAAAATCCAAAAAGTTAAAAAGTCACTATCTTATTTAAGTCACATCAACTTATTTAAGTCACATCACCTCTCTATCACATCACTTCAAACCCAACCCATACCCAACCCATATTTCATAAAAAGTCAAAAGTGCACTTATTTAAGTTTATATGTATATAATTTAACTTCTTTTAATATAATAATATTAAAATATTACATTTAATATTCATTTTCATTTATTTATTTATTATCTTATATCTTTTAACTCCCATTAATTATAAATTATTTTTTGTAATATGCTATATCAACGCTAATTTTTATTAGTTTTGCTATTTTAAAGTTACAAAATTAACCCATCCTTGGCCCTGCCCCAAATATGATACGGGCGGGGTGGACAAACCCACCCCATGAACTCAAACCTAACCTGCCCACTAATTTTTTTCCTGAACTTGTAGTAAACTTGGGGCTTGAGAATTGTGAGTGGACTGTGCAGTCAGCAAGGAGACAAGACTTAAAAAAACATGACTAGTTTATTTATCCTTCTGGGGGCAACATATAAGATACGAGTAATTGTGAGATGAAGCCTCTGATTGGACATTGGAAACCAGAAAACAAAAAATAGATTGTAAAGAGAATATCTTCATGAAACCCTGTTTATTTTTGTTTTTTATTTGTATTTTTTTTTTCCATTAGAAAAACTTGACCGTGTGCTTTAAATGGATAAATGAGCTAGTTTAGATAAGGTAGTGGGGTCTGCGACTGGGCACTGTAGTTTGTTTGAACTTGTGGACAAACCTAAGCCTTCTAGTAGAGAGGTCATCGTAGAAAAGTTGCATATATCGACCATCCATTGTGTACAAGTTTTGTCTTCGCGATGAATTCTCTGATTTCCTGGTGACATTTTCCCAAATTTCACTAGTATAAACCCTACATTTTTTTGGGCCAAGTAGGGTAAATGCTTCTATATTCATTAACTAAACAAGACGTATCTGTACAGGGAAAATGCAAAAGCCACTACCGGAACTGCTAAAGGAGTATAACATAGCAGTAGGCATTTTCCCTCGTGATGCCACCAACTATGAGTTCAACGAAGAGACACATAAACTTACTGTCTACGTACCCTCGATTTGTGAAGTAGGTTACAAGGACTCAACTGTTTTGCGCTTTTCAACCACAGTCACTGGATATCTGGAGAAAGGGAAACTAGCCGATGTAGAGGGGATGAAGACTAAGGTGATGATTTGGGTGAAAGTTACATGTATCACAACTGATGGAGGAAAGATCCATTTCACAGCTGGGTTAAAGAGAACCCGGAGTAGAGATGCTTACGAGGTTCTTCGAGATGGAGTAGGTGTAGATAAGTTCTGATATTGTTGTAGTGTTTGATATCCTTGTAAGCTTTAACATCTTTCTGGGGGATTCTGGAACCCCTTAGCTTGCTCTCTCTACTGTTGGTTGCTGTGTAACTATGAATGTTATGATTGAAAATTGAAGTCCTGTGGATGATTTTGAGTTTTACAATTGATGGCCTTTTTGTTTTAATAAATATTCTAAAATGTGAATTGGGGTTCTATAGAAAATATAATAATTTGCTGATCTAGCAATATTTCTGACTATTATATTGATGAGGGAAAAACTGTGATTTGGCAAAGATGATTCGGACCACATTGCAAAAGTATACACCAAAAAAAAAATATATATATAAGCTCTAATTTGCCTTCAAACTTTTCATATGGACATAGTGGATGTTTGGGAAATGGCTTTTTATGTAGGTTTTTTTAGTTGTAAGATATTATTGGAGAAAATTGTTGGTGTGTGGGAAGATAGTTCGGTTTTTTTGTGGTTGGATGTGATGTTTGTGAGAAAAAAAAGTGAAATGATTATCGGATTGGATGTGATATTTTGTTTGAATTTATTGTTTTTTGGTTTTGTAAAAAGTTTATCTTTTAGTAAAAAAAATCAAAAAAAAACCCAACACGTTTGGGAAGCCATGGTTTAGGCTTTTTTGGCTATTTTAGCCATAAAAAACAAAATATGTTATTTTAGTCATAACAAATAAAACATCACATCCAACCCATAATCATTACATTTTCTCTCACAAAAAAAGTCAAAAAGTCAAAAAGTCCTTCCCAAACCAAGCTTTTAAGCCCAGGTTAAAATAGCCAAAAAAAAAGTCAAAAAGTCAAAAAGTCCTTCCCAAACCAAGCTTTTAAGCCCAGGTTAAAATAGCCAAAAAAGTCAAAAAGTCAAAAAGCCAATTCACTTTACAAACGGAGGCAAAGTTAGGGTTTTTTTTTGTCCATAAAACCGAAATAAATAATAAAAAGTAAGTTTTACTGTTGGGAGTCTCGCGGAATTTGAAAAGATTTGTGTAGAGTTGGTGCAATGGCCGGCAGTGAAATGAAATGAAATCTTATTCGATAATTTTGGAGCACGGCATGATAGTATGGTTGGTGGAGAAAATAAAATATTAATTATTTTTGTTAGGTAATTAAAAAATATAAAGGGATATAATGAATAGTGATTGGTGAAGAAATATAATCGCATGGTACTATTATTGTATAATTTTTTGATTATTTGTTGCTGGAATAATGAATTTTGAAAGAGGGAATATATAAATGGTCTTAAAAAAAAACAGACATGACATTTATTTGATGCTGGGAGCCACACTAGGAGAATTTACAATTGTGATAAAGATCCCCACATATATATAATTTTCACTCTCATTCCAACCACTCAATACTGTGGAGCTCACATATATATGAGTGAATTTCACACACACATTAAGGGTCAAGATCAAATTAAGCCTCATGAAACCCTAAAAAAAAAAGGTCCCAAACATTTATATCTTTTCAACAATTTCACGTGTGCATCTGCATATATGAAAATTTACATGATATCTTCGGATAAATTTAAATGGTGTCCTACTTGTTTTTTATTAGTTAAAGTCGTAGAATTTAATACTTTCTATTGTGATTTTAGAAGATGGTGTCCAGTGATAAATGAAATGTTTCAAGTTATCAAATAATTTATATATATTATATATATTATAGGGATAATTTAATCTAAGATAAATTACAAATACATCTCCTGAGATTTACTTAAATTATAAATTATTCTTTGTGATTTTGAAAATTACATTATGTCCCTTAAGATTTTTAATTTCATAACAAATAGGTCATTTTATTAATAAATCATCAAGTTAATTAATAATTTTTAATAATTTTAAAATTTTATTTTAATTAATAATTTATATAATTTTATTATTATATAGGTGAACAGTTAGAAATTTCACTTTAATTTTAATATTTTCTATTATGAATTTGAGAAGTATCCCGACAAATATAAATGTTAAATGATTTGAAATAATATTCTAAAATTATAAAATAATCACTGAATATGTATAATGTGTGTGATGTGATTGATTAGTAAGGTGAAAAAGAATAATCAATGGGTTACATGCGATTTGAGTGCGGTAATAATAACCGGTGTAGAAAAATATGTAGGAGGATCAATGATCAATGGGTCACATGCTACTTGAGTGCGGTAATAATAACAGGTGTAGAAAAATATGAAGGAAGATCAATTACTTTGTTTGATTTTAGTTCTTAAAATTTGTTCTCGAGTTTTTAATTTAATTTTTTGTTTTTGTTTTCTTAAGTAGGTACGTTTATTTATTTGTTTGTTTTTTATTTAAGTGCAATAGGGGCTGTTTGATTATGTGGTGAATTTTTTTTTAGTACATTAAAGAGTAATGCTAGAGATGCCAAATATTCTATCAAAAGTTTTATCAAATGTCTCACATGGGTGTGGAACCCATACAATGTGAGTCTCATGTGGGTCCCACACCCATGTGAAACATTTGGTAAAACTTTTGGTAAAATTTTTGAAACTTCTAGTATTTTTGGTACATTAAATGCCATAAATTTGAATAGGGGAATCTTGCTCATGATATAAGATAAAATAATCTTGAGTTTTATTAGGTAAATATACAATATAGCGAAGCAATAACAAGGTGTTTTGGCAAAAAAAAAAAAAAAAAGACATGTAAAACACTTATATAAGTGAAGCAATGAAATAGTACCAAACCTCTTTACAACAAACTTCTTTCATTAGAGATTGTCAAGTTTGGCTACAAAGAAAAAAGTGCACTTATTTCATCTTTTTATCTTTTTTGGGTCACATCAATTAACATCTCCTCTCTATTTTTTCTACACATAATATAAAAAAAGTCAAAAAATACACTTATTTAGTCTTTCCAAACTAGACCTAAATTTTCCCCAAATGAGGCCTTAGTAGATCTTGAATGAACATTATTATTTCACCAACTATCATGCGTGGAAATACCAATGTCTCTTAAATGTAGACAATGAAGTGTGAAAAGCTACTCCAAGTGGAATCTTTTATCCCCATTTTGTTTTTTGTGTTTTTGTTTTTTAAAAAAATTTATTATCCAACACTTATTAACAAATTGTATAATTATTTTAAATTTTGTTAACGAAAATTTGTATAGTCTTTGTTTATAGATTATTATTATTATTTTTTGGATTCCTTATTTTTTTACACACTTTTATAACTTGAAGTGTCAATTTTTAACTAAAAATTAGTTATTTTGGCACATTGTATGCTAGGGAGAGAGTTTGAAATAAGGAGAGAGATAATCACACCCCTCAAATTTTGTGTTTTTGTTTTTAAAAAAAAATTTATTATCAAACACTTATTAACAAATTGTATAATTATTTTAAATTTTGTTAACGAAAATTTGTATAGTCTTTGTTTATAGATTATTATTATTTTTTTTTGGATTCCTTATTTTTTTACACACTTTTATAACCTGAAGTGTCAATTTTTAACTAAAAATTAGTTATTTTGGCACATTGTATGCTAGGGAGAGAGTTTGAAATAAGGAGAGAGATAATCACACCCCTCAAACATTGTTCTAATTTTATTGTGATTGGTTCATTGGAGAGACTGGTAATTTTTGTGTTGGTGTCAATTCATGATTAATTTGGGACAATGCTCAAGTAGCAATAAAAATTATCCAAAATTTATTATGAAATTGAAAAAAATCATATGAAAAGTAGTAAATAATAATGTGCGAATTAGCTTCATTATGAGTGTGTCTCACTACAAATTAAATTTAAATTTACATTATGTATATTATTTTTTAACCCCCTTTTTGAAAAATTTATAAACTTATTAGTTCTTTTCAAAAAATAATGTTATGATAATAATATTTATGTTTCACATTTTGTTTATCACTTGCGTCATTATTCTATTGATTTGGTGAGTTTTTCATCACTTACATTTGTTATCAATACGGTGATAACACGTTAAGTAAATAATTCATAAATATAACAATATTTTTTCATCAAATTAATTTTAAAAAATTCTCAACAAAACTTTTAAAAAGCAAATAATGATATCACTTTGTTTGGTTTAGAATTTTCAAAAATAGTTTTATGATTTTTCAATCCAATTTTTTATTGAATTATTTTAAATATTTTAATCAATTTTTTCATACTTTTTAGATTCAAGTAATCTAGATACACTAAAAAATTACAAAGCTTTTGCAAAAATATTTAAAAAATTCATGAAATAAAAATATATATATATATATATACAAATTCAGTACATTTTCATATTTTTTTATATTCAATGAATTTTTAAAATTTTTTATACAAATCTTGCACTTTTTAAATATATGTATGTATATATATATATATATTCAATATATTTTCATATTTTTTTTATATTCAATGAATTTTTAAATTTTTTTATACAAATTTTGAACTTTTTAAATATATCTAAATTAAGTGAATTTAAAAGTAAAAATAATAATTAAAATGTTACAAAAATTCACAAAATTAAAAAAAAAATTATAGATTAAAAATTCAAAAAATTCTTTTTAAGAACTCAAAACCAAACAGGTTGCTTTTCCAATTATATTATTATCATTATTATTATATTGTTCTTATTTTTGGTAAATGGTTTCCAAACTTTCCCCAAGACACAGTTTTATTAGATAGATAATACAAAATACAAAATACAAAATATAAAAAAAAAAAAAGAAAAGAAAAGAAAGAAAGAAAGAAAGAAAGAAGAAGAAGAAGAAGAAAAAGAGAAAAAAAAATTATGTGTTTATTTAGATAGATTTCCTATACAACTAAAATTGACTTGTTAGTTAGGCTAATAATTTCTTGCAGAATATATAGGAAAATTATTTTTTCCTACAAATCTTGACAAGGTTTATTTTGTTTTCTTTTTTGCTCATATTTCTCTTCACACTTCTCTGTTATTATGGTTGTGCAAAACACTACCCAAACCACACCGATCAACATCAATCTACATCACTCTATCTGCTAACCATGATTTAAATTTTAAAATTTATAATTCACTTTCGAAACTACTCCATTCTGCTCCGCCATAATTAATACATATATATTTGTTAACTTATAATAAAATATCAAAATAAAAATATGTAAGGTCTTATTTGTCATAACCTAAAAAAGTTAAAATATTAAAAAGTCACTATCTTAT